GAAAAGTAGTATAGTAGTATAGTATAGAATAGTATCTGAACTCTAGAGGTTATGAGTTAAAGCTTATTGAATTAATACTTCGATATTAATTCAAGTGGAACAACCCACTTTCGATGTGGAAATTCGAAAGCAACGGGTTGGGGGAAACCTTCCCAACTGACGAGATACACCTCTACGCGGTGGTTAGGACAAGTAAGAGAGAAATCTCTGAAACTAAGTGTCTCGATTTTTTAATTTTTATTTATCTATTTATTTTTTTTGTAATTAAATTTATATATGTAAAAACAAATAAAATAATTATAAATAAAATTATATTTTTAAATAAAATAAATTAATAAAATATTATAAATTATCCCTTAATCCGTATTCGGGGCAAATTTGCCCCGATTTTCAGATTCCCGGCAGATATCTCACGCTACCATTAAAATTTACTAAATATACCTCCCATGTTTGTGGCACAATACACACAAACATAACCGCTACACCAATATTTATGTATCTTTGCCACAAATAAAAAATAATAAGGTTCAATAAACTTCTAAAATGTTCTTTAATGTAAAAGATCGATGCTTTTAATTTTCACAATTTTTTTTTTTTTTTTAAAAAAAAAAAAAACCGCTTATACTATGGCCGATAGTGATAGTAGTACTAATAATGACACTTCTAATAATGAGTACGATGATGCCGCTGATGATTCTTCTTCTAATTTGCAATATTTTACCTTTGAGCATAATAATCATAGAGAGACAAGAATTAATTACACAATAGATTATGAAGATTTATTTATGACCGAAGAACAAGATTATATCACAGATTATGTCACAGATTCTGAAGATTTAGTTATGACAGATTATGCCATGGATTCTGAATATGAAGAAAATGCAAAATCTACTTACAAACGAAATGAAAAACGTAGGGCGGGTGGGAAGGAGAAAAAAAAAATGAGTGAAAAAACAAATAAAAGAAATAAAAGAATCGCACATGTTACTAAAAATTTTAACCTACCCATAAATCGACTTTCTCCAGGGAATCATCTAGTAGAATGGCGTAGAAAAAGAGAATCATGTCTATATTGTCGTTATTTAAAAAAAAAAAATGACCAAGGTAAAAAAAAAAAAAAAAATTGTGCAATTTCCCAAACTCAATTTTGATGCATTAAATGTAATGTACCTCTTTGTTGCTCTATAGTAAGACCTAATTGTTTTAAAGATTTTCATAGTAAACAATGAATAAATTTATTAAATATATATTTTTTAATGTTTTTTACTGATTTTGGAATCAATTTATAATATATTAATTATACTTAAATGATGTAAAAATGATATTAAAAAATTCGGGGCAAATTTGCCCCTATTTTGCATATGGATTAAGGGATAAATATTTGACATGGCTTTTTAATAAAAATCAAAGTTCTAATATTTACGATAAACATAGCTTTACTGGCAATCAGTTTTCGAAGTCATATGTAAGCCAGAAAAAATCCGGCTACCATTTTTTCTAGATGGCGCTATGTATCGGTACCACAGCTCGGAGATCGGACAGGCCCTTATTCGTAATAATTTTTCCGCTATATGTAATAGTTTTTATTTTGGGCCCTCATCCGTAATTATTTTCATTTTTGGGCCTTTATATGTAAACCCCTCTAAAAAAACAAGTTCCTATTTAAGCTTTCACCCGCCCGGTATATGATTTTTTATATAATCTTAATGCCAAGAAGCCACTATAATGCAAGCCGAAATTTTTGATAGATTCCGAAATATTCCGAAAACTCATAAGTGATTCCGAAAAATTTCCATGCGCATGAAATGCGCATGATTCGCATGACGCGCATCATGCGCATGAAATTTGAAAAAATCGGGATTTGCACATCACTACCTACACCACATTACGTATTTACTTACATGGTGCTTTACAAAATTTCCTAATTAAAATATATATTCACAACTATTTTGCCGAAATCACGTGACGAAAAAATAAGAGAATCGGGCACATTTTTTTCATATTATTCATATTCATATTTATATTTATATGCCTGAGAGTCAAAGAGCAGGTTACCGAGCGCTTTCCGCCATACGTGGTAAGCACGTCCCCGAATTACTCATTTCCCTGCTTCATGCTTTCTTACAAATATATTAATAAATATTCCAAATAATAATAAATAAATAATTTCCTCAATATATCAATATATGTCCCAATACCAAATATCCCATGAGCTAGTTACCGAGGGAACCATTCGTACGTCAGGTAAACCAGCCATCAAACTACTTATTTCTTCC